GCAGCACCTCGCACACGGCGCGGCTCAGCCAGCCGCAGCTTGCCGACGCAGGCAGCTACCACCGCTTTGGCGAGGGACACCCAGAGAGCCCAGGAGAAAGCCCTCCCTTTTCTAAGAATAAAAAGCAGCATTCAACTCAGACCTGCGCTTTTAAGCCGTATTCCCTTCCGAATAATCGAAATTCCGCTGGCTCCCTTGTGTTGAGAGCAGAAAGCAGGATGGCAACTTTCATCTTCCTCATTCAGCACGAAGGTGCCCGCCGAAGCAGATCCAACCAGAAGCCCCCAAGGAATAGCAGGGAAGTTTCAATTTCCACTCCCAATCTCACTGTGCTCCTTCATCCCACGCCGGCTTCTCAAAAGTTCCCTGAAGGTGCTTGGTAACGCAGCCCCACGGGCCACACGAGCCATCACCGGTAAAAGCAAAAAGTTATTCAGAGGAGAAAGAACGATTGTTGGTTGACTATGTGAAATTACATCCACTGAGGACAGAAACCTGAAGCAGTAATTAGTTCATTACTACAGCCTGTAATGAGAAGTCTGTAGTTCTAAGGGAGCCCAAAAATTAGTTTTTCAGTACTAAGAAAGAAATCAGTGTGCCGATATTCCCCATATTGCATGGTTCTAGTCCCAGAAAATATGAAACAGATGAAACATTTGGCAACTTTTTTTTCAGCACAGTTATTGAATTTCACAGAGTTAAATTTGTAAGGAAAGCTATGACACTGTCAAGTAACAATCTTTTTAACAATGCAAAACTAGCAGCCGAGAAACATATTGCCTTGAACTCCCTGATGCATTCGGAACCAGCCTTCCAAATTGTTTCTTTTGTATTTTTAGAACAGATATTTAATTTACCATCGGCATACTATTTATTGGCACGCTCTAATAGAATTGTATTTGGAAAAAGTCGCTGTATTTGACGTACTCGAACATGCACGCGCTCACATCTCCACGGTCCGCCGCACATCGTGTCACCCCGTCTGCTGCATCAACCCCAGGCCCTGCAGCACCGACGC